CCGGAGGCGCAGAAATATTTGATCACGGAGCCGATCGAGTATCTTGTCTGCGGGGGTCGACTCATGCGAGTGAACGGGATCACAGGTGCGGGACCACACCCATAGGCGTATCCTGCAAATCAGAAGAATCACAATTTCAGCTACGACTGCATGACAGTATTTTACTCAAAATTCAGTTTTATATTTTACAGTTTGAAAAAAACCCAGAATATTCTAGATATAATTCCTATTTTCGAGGACATCGTCTTATAAGTGATCCGGCAAGGAGGAGAGCACTAATTCCGAAAAATTGAAATTTTCACAATTATTTAAACGGTAAGTTTCTGTAATCGGGTTGAACTATTGCAGCAGTCAAAATTGAGTCGAATATCTTACAGAGTCGTAAAACAATTCTAGAATATTCCGGACCACGACAGATTGAAATACTCTTTCACAGCAGGTAACCTTTTGTAGCACCATAAGCAATGGGGTTGAGCTATGATTTGACTTGAAATTCAGCAGCATATCTTATGCAGGTGTAAAAATAATTTTCGAATATTCGGGAAAAAGTTTATATACAAGCGGACATTCTCTGAACAGGTTTACAGCAATGAAAAGTCCAGATGAAAATGACGCTTTCCACGACACATGAACAAATGTGGAATTCAAACTCACTCGAAAGTACAGGATCAGGTTTTGGGCGGAAAGGTGACCAACCCGGATAATCCAGTCCAAATCCCTGCAAATTTTGTGGCGCTGATTGAGGTAGATATTGCGGCGGTGTTTCGCCAGGTGGAAGATACACATTCGGTCTCAACTGAATTCTCAACTTTCGAGTTCTTTCGTTGGGCGCGGAAGGAGCATAATGCGGACCAGTCGGAATATTCCATGTCGGACCATTATCTGAAATTTTCAGAACACATCGAAGAAGTTGCATTCTATATTNCGCCAGGTGGAAGATACACATTCGGTCTCAACTGAATTCTCAACTTTCGAGTTCTTTCGTTGGGCGCGGAAGGAGCATAATGCGGACCAGTCGGAATATTCCATGTCGGACCATTATCTGAAATTTTCAGAACACATCGAAGAAGTTGCATTCTATATTGCAGTACTAAAGCGACATCTACCAAAACCTTAAATCATTACTGGGAAACCACTTGAAAACTCTTACCTCTTATGTCACTCTGGACACGAGACGGCTCTCTAAATCTGGCAAAAGCCGTGACTTGATGCTCTGCAAACGGCACAGCTGGATAGAGCGCATAGCCGGTAGATGGCGCCTCTCCCACACGTAGGCGACTGC